GTAAGAGCGAGCACAAGATGATGAAAATCACTTTCAAAACCGAAGAAACGAGTTCAATCTCCAACAAGGGCATTTTTAATGCTCTTTTCGGAGAAAGAGCGAACAGCAGTAAATGAAAGTCAAAATACCAAGTGCCTCAAGACTCTCAGTGTCCTACCAGGCAGTAGGTCCTAAACACGTTGCCTAGGGAGCCTAGGGATTAAACCCTAGGTCACCGTCAGCCCTCAGAAGGCGGGTGTGTGAATCCCGAAAACTCTGAACCACCAAAAATGATACACAACAAACAAAAGAATAAAAACCATGTTAGGGCGTCCCCCTTAAGCGACGCGTATGGTGTTTCTGGCCTGCCTCATACGAAAAGTAAAGCGAAGGTTAAGGAAATACGCCTAGCAAGTCTAAACGTAGGAACCCTTAAAGGAAAAATGGCCGAGATGGCAGCTATGCTAGCTCAAAAAAGAATCGAAATTTTGTGCGTGCAGGAGACGAAGTTTAAGGGAGCAAAGACAACCATGCTGGCAAATGGATACAAACTATACTATATGGGCGTGGAATCACACAGGAACGGCGTCGGCATCATACTCGCACCCCACCTTGTACCAGCAGTGGTCGAAGTCAAACGGTTTACAGACAGAATTATCTCACTAAAACTGGTGCTAGGAAACCAAATTGCGACCGTATTCTCGGTGTATGCTCCGCAAGTCAATTGTTCAAACGAGGAAAAAGAAACTTTCCGGGAAGCTTTGGACAACGCAATGATGGCAATGAAAGAGGATCTTACGATCATTGGAGGCGACTTCAATGCTCATGTTGGAAACGTTAGAACAGGTTTTTCAAGAGTTCTCGGTGGCCACGGATATGGGATTTCCAACGATGATGGTGAGCACACACTAAGATTTGCGCAAGCGTTTGACCTAGCACTAGCGAACACCTTCTTTCAAAAGAGGGATTCCCACCGCATCACTTACTACAGTGGTAACCACAAATCTCAAATCGACTATATGCTGGTCTCAAGAAAACACCTGCAGAAGATCAAAGATTGCAAAGTCATACCGGGACAGGCATTGTCGGCACAACATCAACTCCTGCTCATGTCCCTACGGATACCTCATACAAAGCACCAAATCAAAAGCTCACACTATGAGCAAGTAATCAAATGGGCCAAACTTAAGGAACGAAGCGATGCATTCGCCATCAACAGTAATATCGAGCAACTCGCACAAGATTGCTACGAAAACCCTAATACACTCTGGGAGGACGTGTCAAATAAGCTCATCAATGCTGGGAAAAGTACGTTAGGTGTGACGAAAGGCGGAAAGGCAAGAGCAAAAATAACGTGGTGGTGGAATGAGGATACACAAATAGCAGCTGACGAGAAGAAGAGACTGTTTAAAATCTGGAAAGCATCTAAGACGGAAGCTGACAGGAAAGTTTACAAGGAGCAATGCAAGCGAACGAGCAAAATTGTTGGGGAAGCAAAACGGAGAGTGTTTGACGATATTTATGAAAGGATGCATACAAAAGAAGGCCAAAATATGGTGTACAAAATGGCGAGGCAAAGAGAGAGAAAATCAAGAGATATTGAAGGAGGCGCACGGTACGTGAAGGATAAAGGAGGTAAGCTACTACTAAACGACAAAGATGTTATATCTCGATGGAAAGAATACTTTTCAGAACTGTTAAACAGTAACGAGAGATGTGTAAAGGAGCTTGATGACCCTCCCCGCTCCTGCAACTTAGTTCATCCAATAACCCGAGATGAGGTTGTGGAGTCGTTGAAAAAGATGAAGAAAGGCAAAGCAAGAGGACCTGATGACCTTCCGATTGAATGTTGGAAGAGTCTTGGAGAAGAAGGAATCAATGTGCTAAGAAAGTTGTTCAACCTAATACTTAACGAACAAACGATACCCGCAGACTGGAAACGCAGTTACCTAATCCCTATTTTCAAAAATAAGGGAAATTCCCAAGAATGTGGTAATTACCGAGGCATCAAGCTGATGTCACATACGTTCAAACTCCTTGAAAAAATTATCGAAGGAAGGCTAAGAGAGCTGATCACGATTGCAGATGGGCAATTTGGGTTCGTAAGCGGTAAGTCTACTATTGATGCGATACACGCACTAAGAATTATGGCTGAAAAATATACGGAGCGTAATCTGGAGTTGCACGCAACCTTCATCGATCTTGAAAAAGCCTTTGACAAAGTGCCACGAAGCGTAATCTGGTATGCCCTTCGAAAGAAGAATGTTCCTGAGGTTTACATCAGGCTCATTCAAAATATGTATGACAACAACACAACGCACATACGCACGTCGCACGGAGTTTCTCAAGGTTTCACAATCAATGAAGGGGTACATCAGGGATCAGCACTTTCCCCACTTCTGTTCATAACAGTAATTGATGAAATATTAGTAAATCTTGAAAGTGAAGCGCCATGGCATCTGCTCTATGCAGACGACGTTGTACTTATCTCCAACAACATCACGGATATGAGCGCAAAAGTGAAGAGATGGAAGGACGAATTAGAGAGTTATGG